GCTTGATTTTTATTTTATTTTCTCACCTTTGGCTATAATAAAGATTTTATAGGCTTGTGTTTTTTTTTTTTCTATGATTTTTTTTTGTTTAAATGTAATCATGGCTAGTTTAACCAAAATAATGCCCCATAAATATAGCCTAGGCTGTACCATTTACTACTAGTTTTACTAATTACTAATGTTTTCTTGATTTATCCCTGCTGAAATTGCGATGCAGCTTATCCACCAGTGCGTCTTATATGCCAGCAAATACGGTAGTTAATTTTAATAAGGAAGAAACAAAATTAGACTAATCATACGTAGGGTAAAAGTTTAAATGACGAGAGAAAGACCACAGAAGAAAGACGAGGCTGATAATGAAACAAGAATATATAATAGTGAACAGCATGACGCTAAAATTAAAAATATCAAAAAAGGCAAATAAAATGAAGAAAAAAAGACGAAGAGAAAAAGAAAAAGGTGATGCACAGATGAAAACGAATAAGAAAGGGAAATTGGTAATTTTTCCCCGAGAGGATCATAACGGTTACGAAGAATAGGAGTGAAGGAAATGAAAGGTTAAAAGTCGCCATATAATCACGATAAAGTAACATATTCTAAATTAAAAGATAATTAAGAGAAAAGTTTAGTGAAAAAAGAAGGTAAAGAAAAGTTGATAAAAGGAAGGATAATATGAAAAGAAAGAAATGAAGAAAGAAAGACAAAAAGAGAGAGAGAGGAAAGAGGATGTCGTTAAATAGGAAGAAAATAGAAGGGAAAGGAAAAGATTAAAACAAGAAACAGAATACAAATGAAAAGAAAGAAGAAATGGAGGAGAAAAACTGGGAAAAATAAAATAGTGACAGAATGACAAAAAAGTCATAAACTTATATACGCTATTCGGACTGTTGTTGCCATATACACAACGTTTCGGTCGTTGTACACTACTGATTTCTCAGACGATTGAAACACTTTATTTCGTCTAGTTTCACGTGCCATGCCTCTACCGGATGTTGAACCTTTCATTTCGTCCACGAATAGATTGTTCTAGTTCTACGTCCACTGGGGTATATTGTTCTAGTTCTACGTCCACTAGGGTAGATTGTTTTACTTTTATGTCCACTGGGGTAGGTTGTTCTAGTTCTACGTGCTATGCCTCTTCCGGGTGTTTCAGCTATCTCCATCTAATGCTCCAAAGTTTTGTTCCCTCACTGCAGAAGCCAGATATTGAACTTTGTGGACCCAACCATTACTTTTATCCACTGGGCCATGTGTCCATGAGGACGTCAACGCATAAATTTTTGGGAATTATAAACTTAGAGTAACCTTTGTACCAGAGCTCATATTGCTATTTTTGTCGTCATTATTGCTTTTCTCTCGCACTCCGTATTACTTGTCCCCATACTGAATTCATTTCTAGGCTTGGCCGGCTCAGAGGATTTTTGTGTCCTAGCATATGTGCTGTTTGTATTTTCGTATTTTCTAGTGATGTTCTCTGTCTATTATTTCAACCACGGTGATATCACTTTTCCCTCCATATGTGGTCAGCTACGCCTGATTTTTCTTTTTCCCTAGTGTTACTGCTTCACGATGTTCTTGCTGTCTTACCTTAAGTGGGCGGTCTGATTCACCGATATATTTCTTGCCACAGCTGCACAGGATGGCGTATACACAGTCCTTAGTCATTTCTTCTTCGAAAAGAAAAGAAAAAGTCATGGAAAGAAGAAAGCATAGTACAAGAAGAAATAAGAAACGCTAAACGAGACAGAAACTTTTATATTTTTCTTGTCATAATTTTGCTCGTTTTTATTTCGTACATTTAGTCTTTTATTTCCGCTTTCTCTTCATTCGTCTTGTTTTGCTATTCTCCCGAATAAAATAAAATACAAACAGGAATCAATAAAGAGAAAACGAAGCATGATGTTTTCTGGGGGTATTATGGTGTTTTTATTGTAACTAATCTGGTCCATGTATCGAAGACGTCATGGAATCTTTTCCAAATGCAAACTATTGCCAATGAATTTAATTCCTACAAGAAATATTTACGCAAAAAATAGCGCTTGTTTCTTCTTTTTCGATTTGATTGAAATTCTATTGCCAGTGTGAAAAGTAGATTGATCTATTTGTCTTGAATACAGCATCATGAATTTTATTGGATTCTGTTCAGCGATAAAAACATATTTTCATACATTTTTGTATAAAACGCAGTAGGTTGTGTTCCTTTAATGCATAGAACAGCTAAAGATTTGAACAAAATATTTTTCTGATAATTTTTCTCATGCATAAATATATAAGTTATTAAGGGAAAACGAATGAAATAAATTTTATTCATTTGCATTAAGGGCGATTATTTCAGAGAATTACCATGAGTTATGCGTAATTTAGAAAAAATAAACAATGCATTTGCTTTCTTCTAATAAACGAATTAAATGTTTTCTAATCTATCATCATTGTGCGCAAATCACTACGAATGCAAAATGTTTTTGGTAAAATATCCGGTAAAAAACATTAATCTTGAGTA